TGAGCTGTTTTTCTTTCAGTGTTTTAATGCAAATAAAACTTACTCTGTACTTTTTCTACAATGATTTTATAGCAATTTTAATACACCTGAAGTTTTTTGATCTGAGGGCTTTTTGGATGTTGTAGAAGAGATTACAACATAGAAGTGCATTGCATTAGAATAATACATGTTTTGCTGTGATTCTGAAAGCACAGGCCACAGAGTTCTGAGTACAGTTTTAAAAGAGTTATGTGATTAAATTGCTTCACCCTACTTGGCAGTCTGCTGGTAAATATTAATGGTATCTTCAGTGGTTGTGGGAAACAAATGTATGTCCTTTTTGAAGACAGTTTACTATTATTTGGGTCTTGGTCAAGAAGGTATTAGTTGATATGAGTCTGTTTTAGTTTTTTTTTCTTTACTGCAGTCTTAACTCAGAGCTCCAGTTGGTATCTAGTTTTATAAAGGCAATTACATAAGAATTTGGGAATGCTTACAAGGTAAAATTTTGACATCTATATACTTCTAGTATCTATGTGAGAAAACTGGATTACAGCCAGTAACCATAAACAACTCTAGTTTTGCAAGCTTTTCCTGTTTTTTTTTGTGGTGTGGTTGGGGTTTTTTTGCTTGATTTTTTTTTTTTTTTTTTCATTTATATATATACTTTTTATTTAGTGCAAGGTGCTCTCTGCTGCTTTGTAGAACAGTCAGAAACACATCTGTGACTGTTTAGCTGTGGCCAAGTTAGAAGGTTGGGGAAACACGTTGTTTTGAGTTACTTTGTGCACTGCAGAATGTGTCTGTCTCACCTGGTGTGATTTGTCTGTTGAGAATTTAGAAAAATGGCCCATTTTGATTGATGCTGAAAATCTTCTAGATCTGTAAAAAGTATAGATAACCAAAATGTATTTAAAAAACAAGTGGTAGGGATATTCACTCTTGATATGTCTTGACCAGATTATATGCCCTACTGAGAAACATGAGAAAAAGTCTGAAATTGGACTGGTAATGGAAATGGGCATTTACACAGGACAGTACATATTTCGACAGTAGAGTCTGTGTCTAAATATATGTTTTTAAATAGTTTTCAAGATTACAAGTAGCAATACTATTTTATCAGAACTTGTAGTTCTCATTTTGAACAGTCTTATTTTAGTTTTCCTTCAAAGAAGTGTGGTCAAATCTCTGAGCACATGATTTCTTTGTTCCTGAGCAGCATCTTGAAATGCTAATCAAGCTGTGGTGTCATTTCCTTAATGCAGAGTATTTGATCTATGCTTTTATGATTCCTTTATGACTGAGGTAGATGCAAAGAGCTTTCTTGTGCTGAACATATGTATTAGTTATGGGGTGGTTATTTGTCGTTGCAATTGCCAGCTGAATGAACCAATGTCCTCTCAGATGTCTGTCACCAATTTCAGATATTCTTTATGGAATCCTGCTGGCTGACTGATGATCCTTCTTCAGCTGTGATGAGCTAATCTTTCCTTGACATTGTAATCACAATTCTTGAAAGGTCCGCAGAGCAGTTGCTTGCCTTTGGTTGCGGTTGTAGCTGACATTGATCGTACTTATCTGGATGTATATATCATTCTCCTATCTTAGTTTCATTATAATTCTGGATGGAATTAAGGATTATGATTCCTAGAATATCCCTACAGGCTTTGTCATTTGCAACATAACCAGTTTTAGTAAAGGATATGGTTATTTGCAAAATCTAGGTAGTAATAAAAGAGTGATATATGAACCTCTTGCATGCCACTGTTCTTGGTGTGTATTTGGGATTTTGCTGCATCGTATACTGACAGTAGACCTACAGCTCATAGACTGTCAGATTGTCATCCTGTTCTGCACCCTTAAATTCCACCCACATTTTTTCATTTCATGGCTGGTTTACAGATCAGCTCTAATGGCTCTGTGTTTATTAGGCTTTGGAAGAGCACCTACGTGGTTTAAAGGCATGCATACAACAGCACAAAATTCATTACCCTTCACCACATGCTGACCATGATAATGCAGAAGAGATTAGATATATCTTCCAAGGCATAACTTTCAGGGTTGTCTAAATAAAGTCTTCAGGTTTGGCTTGTTTTTTATTATTTTACCCTTAGAACAAAGTTTTGTGAAATCTTTGCTTGTGCAAAGACTGTCACCGTTGACCTGGTTTGAACCCTGTCTTTATTATCTTCGTGTTTTCCCCAGCAGTCACATGCTGGCTTTAAAGCCCCAGTATCCAGATACACACTTGGGTGTCTCATCCCTTGCAGAATGGGAACAGTTAGATTTCCATGACTTATCTTAGCATCTCTGTGTCTTTCCAGAAGTAGCATTTGTGTTTGCCTCTGTCCCTTCCTCCAAATCTATCTTCTGTGCTGTCTTCTCTCCCACATGCTCTTAGTGCTTAGTATTCACTGTGATGGTTACTGCCCTAACCAGTTAGGTGGCCTGCCTGCCAGTGCAGGAAGTCAGGCCATTCAGATGTGATCCTTCTCTCACTAACAGGAACTGCATCAGATCCTGTCCCTCTTCTGAAAGAAAGTCGTTCGTTCTGAGAAAAAGTGGTTTACTTGAGAGATGGGGGATTACAGTGGCATTTCTTACAGCACAGCTGATCAAAATCAGGCTTTATCTTTCAGCATGCATTATGACTTCTTAAAATATAATAGCAGGTTTCATAAAACTCTAGAATAGTCTGAAATAAGTCCAAGACTCCTTTTGCTTATCATTTGCTTCTTTGTGTTAAAAATTATTTTAGAATGCAGCAGAATTCCAGTTTAAAAACAGGTGCAGGCTGAAATTTCAGTTTTTTAAGGCGTCATGGATAGCAGCACTGCTCTGATGAACTTCGTTATGCCATATGAGTACAAAATATTCTTAAAAGGAGAGAGTTGCAAAGACATAAAAGGCACTTAGTTTTTCAATACATTTGGGAGTCTTAAATCTTAGTCTTACATTTTAAAGTTACTTCTCTTTTGTAAAATTGTGGATTAAATGTCTTTGAAATGTGTAAAATTTTATATTTGAAAAAAATAATTTTGTGATCCACTCTTGAAATATATGTGAATTATCTGATATTACAGATGAAATCATATTCCTTATAGAGTAGTATTGTGTACACATTTAGAGCACTTACAGCGCCATATCTTAGCTTCTGTCATGCATTTATAGTTGGAGAGGGAAGTAATGGATATTTAAGGTGTTGATAAATCAAATCCTATTTGTTGGAAACAGTAAGTTTAGGAGGTGATGGGATTATCAGGACCAGTTACTATAATTGTTTTACATGTGAGCAAGGCCATTCATTTCACAAAATACCTGCAGCTTGTAGCATGTCTGCTCAGGTATCATGTTACCTGTCAGTAAAAGCAGAGCTGATCAGCTTTATAATTGACAGTTAACTACATCTGCCAAGATTATTGTCCAGCTTGTCTTTTTGTAATGAAACTGTGGATGGGGGTTAGCAACAGTGTGTTCACCCTTCTGGAGGTTGTGGAGGATGGAAGGCACTAATGCGTTCGAAGCTGAAAAGCTCACGCTTGACCTTGATGATTAAAGTTTTTCCTATCATCTAGCAGCAGTTGAGCCTGAATTGTCTCTTAAGAAGTCAAAAGGTCTAATCAACCTAATGAACAAACTCAATCATTAGTACTTTGGTGAAGGAAGTGTGTTAACGTTATAATAGTAGTGGACTCCCTGGCAATGTGTGTATTTATAGGAATGGTACACAGCTCGACTGTAAGAGAGAAGCCAGTGTCCTTGTGCTGGATGTACTCTGTTTGGCAGGGTATAGCTCCTCCACAGTGCTCATACTTGTGTGTGGCCATGGGAGAAAATTTGGTTTCTTGCAGGTTATAGAAAGGGTTGCCTGTTTGCTTTCATTGTGTGTCAGCAGTCAGGGTGAGTAGCTCTGGAGTGGTACCAGACCCCAGTAGGAAATGTGTCAATGAGTGAGTTTGATTGATTGTGAATGTGGGGAAAAATATGAATACCTATGGGTTTTAAGAAATGTGAGTGTCTTTACAGTTTGTCCAACAGTTAAGAGGATTTTGTATCCTTTCAGTGTGGATTAGGTGTTGAAGTCCTGGGGCCACATGGTGGCTTCCAACGTAAAATATGTGGGGAAAAAAAAATATGCTTGGGCAGTGCTGTGCTGTGGGGCTTTTTGAGCAGTAATTTTAGTGGCTTTGTTATCCTGACTGTACACAGCCCATGTTAACCATTGAGGCTAATTTGAAAAGCTTTCAGAAATGGAATAACACTGCCTTCTGAAGGGAGTGCTTTGCAATTTTTTTCTTGTCTAATGTTGATTTTGAACACTCAACAAATATATACTTAATATTTGCCAAATATATATTTAATAAGAGTATGAAAAAGCCTCCATATTATACAAAGCAGTATAATTTTATCATTGTTACTTGTTTTTAATTCAATACATCTTATTTGCTTGCTACATTGAATATTTGTAGATTTAAGTGTGGAAATTTGTGCCCTTACAGCAGATGCACAGCAGACTTCAGCATTAACATAACTCATTAAAATAAGATAAAAGTAGAGCTGCAAAACAATTTGTGTCTTTTGCCAACAAGGTTGTGAAAAAGGGAAATTTCACTCATTCAGTATATGGAAACCTAATGTTTCTGAACTGTGGAGAGAATGGAGTAGACATTCCTGGCTTGTTGGTACAGGTTAGCTGGCTGGGTCCACTGAGACAGATAAGCAGAGTCTGTAAAGTTGAGATGACTGCCTGTCGTATTTGGTGTTATTAAGTAAAATTACCTTTTTGGATGATGAAAGTTCCTTCACCAGTTTTATTTTGATAATACACAATTTGTCAGTTTCCAGCCTGTTTCTCAGTCACATGATTGAAACCTGGAAATAAACTACTGTTTACTCCATATGATGCAAGGCCTTCTTTATTCGTCTGTTTATTTTGGAAGGGAAGTAGGTAAAATGGAGACATTGGATTCAAATTGATTCAGAGAAAGCTTTTTCACTGTTTAATGCTTTGAACTCTACAGGGTGAACCCATCACTTTCTGTGAAGAATCATTTGTGTCCCATCGTTCTGCTGTCATGAGGCAGTTTCTTCAGAATGCCATTCAGCTCCAGCTCTTTAAGCAGGTACTGGCTTAATTGCTCTAATGTAGAAGCAGACTCTGTAACAATACAGTGGGGTATTTTGAGGGCTGCTCTTGTATTCCTTGATCTGTCAGCCACATAATGAGGAAAATTCATGTAGCTGGCAGCACCTTAATTCCTGCTTGTTGGCTTTTCTTGGATTTAGGTGATAAGTCTTTCTGTATTTTAAGAAGTATGTGGCTGTTTCCGTAAAGGTCTCTGTGCTCAGTTTTGATCTGAGACCCAATATATTTGCTGTAAACTTTGTATCAAAAGGATATTAGTGTTAAATGTGCTGTTACTGCCTCAGGGATGCTGAAAACTGGAATAGACGAACACAGGAATGCTGGTGAAGCAGCAAACCTTTTTGCATTAGTAAATGTTTTGCCTGTTTTTATTTTATTTTCATTAAATTTAGAGTTCCTTCCCAATAAGAATGTTAGGGTTATTCTAGCAAATACAGAATGAAGTATTTCTGAAAAGATAAAGGATGGGATGATTGATTTTTTTACACTCTCTTTTAACACTGATGAAGTTCATTGATGGCCGACTGGATCTCCTTAACTCTGGTGAGGGCTTCAGTGATGTTTTTGAAGAAGAGATAAATATGGGAGAATATGCAGGTAAGAAATACAGTATTTAAGTATTTTCAGACGTTGTTCTTAACGTCCTATTTGTGGGCCATCGTGATGTAGAGCAACTTCGAGGTTAGTCACCCAAATAACTGAGGCTGCAACGAACCCTTGAGGTTGAAGTGTCTTTAATTTTTGTCTTTTCCTCTGTCAAGAACTTTGGGTAATGTATTGTAGTTTGAGTAAAGTCTGTTCAGTCTTACAAACCCTCAGTTTTACCACTTGTCTGAAGTACAACCATCAGAATTCCTGCAATGGAAGATACTGGCGAACCTTGACATTACCTGGAACCACCTCAGATTTCTTACAGCGCTCTTAAAAAAAACATTGATGTTTTCAAATGCCTGCAAGGCAATCCTGATAAAAGAGAAATGTCTCTTAGCAAGGAAAAGAAAAATTGTAAATATATGGACAAATTTTTTTGGTTGTGTTTCCATTAAAAGAAAAGGATGGTTCTCTTCTGTTTCTGTGCTGTTCATGCTAACATTTCTGACTTGTTTTCTGTTTGCTTGAGAGTTACAGTTTGTTTTTCTGGTTCTCACTAGGTAGCGACAAACTGTACCACCAGTGGCTCTCTACAGTACGGGTAAGAACACAATATACTTTCAAAAGTCTTTCCAGTTCTTTCTAGACCATTGTACAGATGTGTATGGCTATAAACCTCATCCTTATGGACATTACTAACCTGTCACGTTCAACTTCACTTTAGTTGTGAGAAACTAATGGGCTCCTCAGATGAACTACAGAACAGAAGAAAAATGAACTAAAAAAAACCCCAAAACACCATAGGAATTCTCCAGTGTTTGAATCCCACTTTTAATGTCTTGTACACAGATGGAATTGTGTTACTGTCATTTTAGAAAATAATGTGGGTTTTCCTTCCTTTTAATGGAAAAGGAAATAAAAGGGCAAGTTGCCATACCAAAAAGCTCTAGCTCTTTATAAAGCTAAGTGGTGTGAACTGCTGAATGGGGACAGCACTGTTTGTGATGGCTTCTGTATCTCTTTGGTTTAGTGCTCTGGTTGTAATAAAAATAGAAATAGTACATTATTATAGCTGATAAATGACAGCTGATTTTAAAAGTCTCATTTGATGCATAAAATATGATGTTTCTGGTTTATGAGTACAAGTCAGTAGGAAAAACTGAATTGTTTTCTGACAGAATTCAGTTTTGCAGCATTCCATTTGCCTATTGTCCTGGTTGTGAACAGAATTATGTTCCTTACAGAAAATGCTGAGCTCAATGTTATCTTTACAATTTTGGATTAAACATATTTTAAAACAGTAATGCAAAAAAATAATCATGCAGTTAGGTAGGTAAATATATATAAAGACGTAGGATGAAAAGGAATTTTAAAATTGAAAGGAAGGGAAATGGCCGTCAGTGAATATAAAAACGTGTGGTTAAATTCAAGAGTTTCTAATATGTATTGAAGATTAATTGGCATGTAACAGAAGTAATAAATCTTAAAACTGCATCTGATTACATCTGATGTCGGAAAATGCAATTTTACACTGCAATAAGAAAAGATAAGCTTATCTAAGATTTTATTCCTTGGATTTTGACCATCTCCTGTGTGTATCAAGCAAGGTGCTGTGCAGCAGTAGCCAGTGGGGTGTGGAAGATGTACAAAACAGCACAAGACAAACAGATTATTCTGTCTGACGTATTCCTGTCTTAGGACTTGTGTTCACTATGTGCAATGCAGCTTGTCTAGAATTAATGTTTATGACTGTAGTCAGATTTCATTTTCCCTCAATTTATCCCTTTATCGACTACTTAGATATTAAAAAGGCAGCATGATTTGATGAATACTATTGTGGGATCATGAGAAAGAAAATAAAAAAGATCTGACTTCTTCAGACTGGATGTACAGGCTTTCCTGAAACTGGATTCTGTGCCCCAGACACTGAGGATTTGGTAGGATATTTCAGTCTGGAACTTGTTTAGGATTTTGATGGACTGTGCAGGACACTCGAGGGCAGGGGAGCAGTCACAGAGCAATGGTAGGTGACAGGACCCTGAAACAAGGCTCTTGGCATTCGGAGACTTGACATTTCTGATTTGAAAGCTGCTGTGCTAAACAGGGTGGGGGTTCCTCTGGAAAACCAGAGAGAAACATGTAGTATGTTTTACTAGTGCTCTTTTTCTTTTAATTTGCCATTTAAATACTCTGCTCTGCTAATAAGGATAGTTAGTGCTTTGTTATTTTAAGTTAAGAATGGTAGATTTTAGATTACTGTTTCCTTTAAAGACAAGTATGATAAAATTTATTCTGTTATTATAATTACAGAAAGGAAGCGGAGCCATTTTAAATACAGTAAAAACGAAGGCTAATCCCGCAATGAAGACTGTCTATAAGTTTGTAAGTATCAAGTACTGGCTTACTCCTTAAATAAGAGTCTAATTATGATTCTGTTTTAACCTTTCAAATGAAACTCAAGACTTAAATTAATTTTTATTGGACTCACAAAATTACTTAAAATACACATGCATCTGAATTTCAAATTTAAATGGAAAAGTAATTTTGAAATGTAAACATAATTGAAATGCAAAGGAGGAGGGAAACTTGTGATTTCTTTTGAACGTGTAAATGATAAATTCTATTTATTACATAGAACTATTACATCGTGCCTGTATGCTCTACTAAGCAGCTCTACCATCTCATCATTACTCTGTTGGAAATCATTGTTACCTCAGGTTTCTCTGCTTGCAGCTTCATCGAAATTAGGGAATCCTCTCATTTTCCAAATTGTTTCCGTCTTTTCTAACTGTCAATTAGTTTTCCCTAGAGGTTTCTTGTACCTGCTTATTTAGAGCCCAATTTACTGAGTTATTCTTTAAAAGAAAACGTTTTCAATTCTGTTAACAAACAGCTAATATGTTACTGCATTATCTTGTATGGCTGCCAGTTTCTCTGTGCAAGATAAAACAAGTGAGGATTTCTTAAAACCTCAACTTTAGGAAATAATGATACAGAAAGCATTGAGATAACTGCTCAAACTTTTATTTTCTCCTGCCTTTCTCTAGCTTGAGAGAGATGAGTAGGATGAGATTAGCTCTACTAAAACGAACTGACATCTGGAGTACTACGTGGAGAAAGTTTGCAGGCTCACTATTGCTGTTGATTGTTAACCGGTAGCAAAGATAAATATTTGAGAGTGTGGAATGCAAAAAGATTTACAGATATCTATGGCATCAAAACAGAGAAAACAGATTTTTTGAACAAGTATAGGTGTGAGGGTGATGGAGGCTTTTGTTTGTTTGGGGTTTTATTAGCTTTCTGTTTGTTTTAATGTTTTCAGTATCCTGAAATTTCCTTGCCATTTTTACTATCTAGAGAAGGTGAATCTTGATGCTATGAAATCAAGCATAGTCACTGCTGGAAATAGAAGAGGATTTTAACTTACATTATTTTTTCATGCAGGCAAAAGATCATGCAAAAATGGGAATAAAAGAAGTGAAAAACCGCTTGAAGCAAAAGGTACTTGAAGTTCTTATTCAAAATGTATAAGCACCACGTATGAAATACTTAGCCACAAAAAGCATTATGTGATCAATAGGAAGCTGTTTGATACAGTGTTGTTAGCACACTTCAAAATGCATTACCAGCTGTCTTGGCTTGTTCACGCTATTATAAATATTCACAGACCAAAAAAACCCCAAAGCCTGTCTTCAAATACATTAAAGCTCTGACTTAAACCCTCAAAAGCCAGAAAACTGAGTGTTCTGTTTGGTGTGGTCCCTCTCCTGGCCTTTGTGGTGGGGCACTGTGGAAGGGGACTTCATCTGAACTGGGAGATCTTTCCTGCAGGAAGAGCAGTGAACTTATGGCAAGTGGCAAATTGTTGGTATTTGTCCAGTATTCTCTCAGAGAAAATATAGAGTGTTGGCCATTGAGAAAAGAACTTGTGTGTTTCATGAATGTCTGCAAAATTTAGGCATAAAGGAATTAAATTAGAGTTGGTATTCATTTCAAATTTGAATTATTGCAGAAATAAGAACTGACAGTGTTTGTTGTTTTCTGAATTTGTCTTTATTTGTAAACAATAGAGTTTCAAGAATGCTGAATTGTGTTTGAAGAACATGTTATCCAACACTAATTGCTCCTTTTAAGCCAATAGTATGGTTATATTGATACCTGCAGTATGAATGGTTAACTCTGCCTTAGGTTTTTTCCAGATACTCTGTTTATATTGTGAAGCGGAGCTATTGGAGTCTTTTGGGGAAAAAAGATAACTAATGTGCTCATAGAACTGAAGTTCCTCTCAGAAATGTTGGTTTGCGTTTGGTTTTAATCTGTTCTATCTCAGTAAATTTGTTTTCTGAATTTTCAAACCATCCTCTGCAGATAGCACTGCAGCTGTATTCCTGTGAAACAAATCCGCCTGAACATGTCAGCAGTGTTAATACAAAGGGATTATTTTGCAGCCAGGTTACGAATTGATGAAATTAACTGTGTATACAATCCAAATGCTGTTTGCTCTCTAAATACTCTAGCAGATTGCTAGACATTTTGAGGGAGATAGATGCTTTGGGTTCTTGGAAACTATTTTATTTTATTACACTTAATACTTTATATGTGACCACTTCACGTATACTAGGAACATCTTAGAAACAGGAAGCAGTCTTCATGTACATAGAATTTTTTACGTAATTCCATGTGTTTCAATTTTGCACATAATCTTTATGAATAATAAAATATTTGGCCTTTCCCTGTGCATTTCTAAAGCAGTTGGAGCCGTGTAAAATGACCAGATTGTTTTCCTCTATTTTAAACGCTAGTATAATTGTATGCTAGTCTGTGACATTCATATCAAAAGTCTGAGAGACATCTCATTCATTCATTTCTTTGTGTTATTGTTGTTGTCTTCCTAGTCCTTGAAGCAGCAAGCGTTCTTTTTAAAACCACACATAACATTTACAAATAAACAGCCCAATTTTGTTTCACCTTCCTTATGGATGGTTAAACAGAGTTGTTCAACATATGCTTTCACAAGAGCTTAAAAGATTTCTGTGAGTAGCTGACACATACTGCTCTACTCTCCTTTATTCATTAAGTCTGTTCTTTTCTATCCCATCCTCTTCTCCATTTTGGATTCAAGATGGGGAGATAACTAAAAAGAAGTATTGCTCTGTTCAAAGAGGTAAAAATAGCAAAAAATGTTTTGGCCACAGTCGTATTTTTTTCTAATCTAAGTTAACAAGTCTATCAGTGCATCCTTATCAATTTTCATGTGAGAACTTTGTGGTTTTCATGTATTTACTTACTAGTATGTTCAGATATTATCTGTTTGAAATGTCAGTGTCCTTAAATACTTAATTTTTGCCAAACTTGGGATGCCAATCTTTCATCTTCTAAAGATAACCTTAGATTATTTTAAAACTGAACTTACTATCTGCTTCATTTAACACATTATTTTTCATTATTAATACAAAAAAGTTGCAGGCCAGTGGTAAAGAAAAGTCAAATATAAACATCCCTTTTCCAGTTTTTGCTGCTGAATATGAGCAGCTTCTGTACAAGATAGAATTTAAAAATGCAATAAAGCTAGAGGTCTGCTTCCTACAACTCTGCATAGCAATGGTGACCTCTTAAATATAATCAAGAGCCCATTTTGCCCTTGGTCTGCTCCAGTCTTGGGTTTGAATTGCAAATGGGAAATGCAGGATTGACCTGTTGAGAGGTCACTGTGGTGTGTGTAAGGTCCTTCTTTAATATGATAGTAGAGATTGAATGGGGCTCTATTTCCATCCCTTGTTCATTTGTGGTACAGTATTTCAAAGCTACAGAAATAGTTTTCAGAGGATTCTTATGAGTGATAGCAAATAATTGTTAATAGATACAGCATAGTAGCTTTATTTTATATCTGATAAAGTACTTTTTTTCTTTTTTTTCCAACCTTTTTCCTTTTTTTTTCTTTTTTTTTGGGTGTTGTGGTTTGTGGTTTTTTTTGAGAAGGCTGCTTTTTCCATGTCACAAATGGACCGTGGTGGTCAAGTCACTCCCTTGTTGGCTCGTTTGAAGCTTAACTACATAGAATTAGGAAGAAGGAGGAATATGAATGGTACCATCCTCAACTTTCAGTAAGGAGAATGTAACTTACTGAAAGCTTCTGCATAAGACAATTTATATAAATGGTTGGGCACTTGGCATTAGTGTATTCAACATTATTTTAGTTACTAGAGCTTGTGTTGCTCCAGTTAAACAGATACCAATGTCAGTTCTTTGCTACAGTAAAGGTAGAAACAATTGATTTAGAGGTTTAAAAAATAACTTGAAGAATCCTTTTAAACATTCTGGAATGTGTGTTTTGTAAAAGCCAGTATTTGTAGTCCATTACAAAAGGTCCCTAGATAAATTAGTAATGCATATTTAAACAGAAGAAAACTTTATTTAGTTTACAGGGTAAACTTTACATATCTGTAAATATGTATGTTCTCATTCACTGAAGTCCATCCTTAAAGAGGTAGTAAAGGTTTCATCTTAACAGACAGTTGTTGGGGACCACTGTTTATATATGGAGATAATTATGGAGTGTGATAGATGATTGTCATTATCTTTTTCTGGTAATCCTTAAGGTATCCTTTTTCCTTTTAATAATGAATTACACTTTTTTTTCATTAGAAAGTCACTGAACCATTGCTAGTTTTCTGGAGAATTTATTCCAGTAATGAGTAACTTGGCACCTTCCATTTTTTTTTCTGTTTTTTTGAAAGGGACAAGTCTCAGTTTTTTGTTGTTATCCTGAATAATATGTATGATTTAAGCTACTTAAGGAACATCATGCTGGCTTATACCTAATACCTTTTTTGGGGACATGTTGGAACTGAAAGGTCAGACTTGGGACATCTCCTTATGGTATGATGCACTGCAGTACAAAGAGCTGCTCCTGAGCAGCAGCCGAGCTGCTACACATACCCAGCACAGGTCTGGGTGGAAGTGCTGGCACTGGTCTCCAAAGCAGGGTAGGAATCCAAGACAGTGCCCTGGCTGGTATGTGCTCTCCCTCCCTTGGGATACACAGCTCTGCCTGGCTTTTCTTTCAGTACTGGCAATGGGCACTGCTTTTTGTAGGGCTGCCTGCACTATGATCCACTGCAGTTCTGCAGTCATTTGTAGCTGAAGAACTGCTTTTATCAGTAGACATTTTGGGAGCCCTGATACCTTTCTGGAGCTGAAGTTCAGAATCAGTGTCCTGTTTTCTTATTTGTGATCTTACCTCTCTGTCTGTCTCGTATTCCTTGTTGACTTGTGAATAACTGTATTCAGAGTCTGGTAATGGACTGAAGGTATGTCACAGACTGCCTGGAAGGACTGTTGTGTTCTTATAGAATTGCTAAATACTTAGACATTTAGTCACTTTAGAACTACTTGGAGCCCTTATTTGGGGTGTTTAAAATCAGGTTTCTCTGCTTATTTACCTTTCACTGAAGGTAGAAAAGAAACTTTTTGGAAGCAAATTTTGCTTTGATGGTTGAAGCTGTGTTGTTTATCTACCTGCGTGTTTTGTGATTTTGAAAAAAATAGAGAGCCATCAAATAATTTAATTCTCATCTTTCATTAAGTGTGTTTTAAAAATCGTAATTTTGACTGAAATCTTCTACAGATACTTTGGAAGTATCTGTAGCAATAAACACTGCAAGGGTTTGCAGTGACCGTTAACACATTTTCATGGATTTGGCTTAATGGCTTGATCTGTCTGTGTCTTCTATCTCCTCCCATTCCCCTCATGTCCAGACTTTTGCATCTATTATATATTTTTTCTGGAATTTTGCTTGGATTGGAAGATGCTTTGCTTCCATTGATTCCCAGCTGCCCGTTGCCTTGGTAGGAGCCACAGCTGCAGCTGGAACGCTGAAAGCTGTGAAGTGCTGGGAACATCCACTGGCCAGAGCAGGTCAGGTGGCTTTGAACTTGCTGGGCACATCTGTGGCCTATACACAACCAGTCTGAATAGAAATATATACATGAAGTTTATATTGAATGTTGTTACATTTCAGAACAGCATAGAGTGCTGCCACATGTTCTGTGAATCCTGAAATGACCAGATCCTTCAGCAGCTTGGTGCTGTTTGGGAGCTGAAACAGGAGTTTGACAGAAGCTTACATTTCTTGTCACTGAGTTGTTTTGGGGGTCTTTGTTACTAATTCAGTGTACTTTGTTGAATTTTTTTAAAGACAAGGTAACATTGTGCAGCTGGAGGGCAGGGAGGAGAAAAAAGTTTTTCTCTCTAGTTTGACCGTAACAAGTTGTTAATTTCCGCACGATCCTTATGCCCATATTGGTGAACCACTGCTCTGCCAGCTGGATCTAAAAAGGTCTCTCAGCTTCTCTGTGGAGCAGACAAAGCCCCTTAGAAAGTCCATCCAGCTTTTTGTTTCATTTGACCTAAACACATTAGGTCAGTCTGTGTCCAAAAGAACCATTTCTAATTGGCCATCAGCTTACATGTCTCGTTATTGTACCTTAGCAAGACGGAGACTTGAGGGGGCATGTCAAAGGTCAGGGAATCAAAGCAATGTCTGTGTCAGCTGCCAACCTTAGGTCAGTCTTGCAGAGCTACAGTGTGTGCAGGTTTCTCTATATATTTACCAAGCATTATTTCCTTGACATTGTTGCAAAGAGATGTAAGGTTTGGGGCCCACTGCGTTACAGACTATTGCTCAACTGACTTTCAAACTCTTTTCTCCTTGTCTGGTTCCTTAGGTCTGCATGCCTTTGTCTTTTTCAAAACCTGTGTTACATATACCATACACACACTTGCCAAGTCTTCTAGCTTAGGTTGATGGGTCACTTTACTTCTGAAGATGAGGACTAATGTCAAAAGCAAAGGAAAACAAAAAGCATCCTGCTAGGCAGCAGTTGGTTTTATACATCTCCTGAAGGCATATTCAGTGCACACAGGCTCAAAGATAAAATGCAGAGCTAACTAAGCTGTGAGTTTCATCTCTGCTTGCTACTTCCACAAGTGATTTTTCTGCTACAGATAATTCTGTGAAGTACGTAAACAGTATTACTGTTTTGATTTAGCCTTGCAAAAGCAGAATAGCCCTGTTCCTAGGTTTCTTTGGAATTTGTTCCTAGAGTAAATATAGCAGTGGTTTGTTGTTTTTTTCTCCCTATGTATTTCCTGGCTTTTGTGTATTTAAGTCAGACATTTATTCAATGTGTCTGTTTGCATACAGTGGTGATATTAGGAGGAGAGAGTGGCAATGTGCAAGCTCTGATTGACAAAGTGCAACCAAATGCTTTATTCTAATGTTTTTTTTTTCTGTACTTTGGTTTTTTTTCCCCTAACATCAAAATTGTTAGTCAGCATTATCCTCCAGTGTGTCCTTTGTGTCCCTTACCCTTAATCAAGATTGTTCCTGGCCCTGTTATTCACCTTTTCCTACCATACAGGACATTGCTGAGAATGGGTGTTCAGCAGTGCCGGACGAGTCTCTGCCAAAGACAGCACCTTCTCCATTGGGTGAAAAGAAGGACCCTAAATTAAGAGAAGACAGGAGACCAATCACAGTACATTTTGGTCAGGTATGTCTAGTGTTAGGTTTCTTTAAATTGTGTGACTCAGCAAAAATACTTCAGAGAAAAGTTGCAATAACGAATATGCCAGTTGTTTCATTATTCTCTGTGACTGAATCATGTTATCACAGATTTATTTCTGTTGTGTCTGTTTAAATGGGATCCTAAAGACCTGGTTTTTCTGAGGATTGCTGATTCCTTTTGTTCATACAATGATTTTGAGGAATATGTAAGTGAACAGGAAAGCATAATTATTGTAGCAATTTTATAAACTGTTTTGCTGATGTTTTTAGCATGGAAAGTGCTATAATCTTCAGGACTGAAAATGTGTGATTTAAAATGTCCTCTGTAATCTAGCCAGATCATTAGTGCCACTATGAAACATCCAACTGTTAAAGTATTTTAATGTTCTCTGAAAATTAAATGCAATGAACTAAGATGGAAAAGTCAATTAATGGCTTATTAGTGTACTCTGTATTGCAGTATTGACAACTGAGCTGTACACATCAGTTACTCCTAGAATGTCTCTTCTGATATATCTGCTAAAGAGTGAGTTTGGTTGTGTGTTTTTTTTAAAGAGCTAATTATTTAGAAAATGTTATAGTTGCTGTGATTTTTCATGAAAAAGCATACAGGATTTACCATCAGTTTGCCAGTGCTCCCCTATTAAGTGTAGCCTGACTCAAAAGATAACATGATTTGTGTACCTACTTCTCTTTTCTTTTTCTGTATTTATTTTTTACAGTATTAGGGTCAGAAAACAGGAATGATTATCTGATTATTTTTTTTTAAGGAAGGAGTGCAATTTTAAAACAGTTGTAAAATAAGTAGGAATTATAAAAAGTGAGATTAGCCAGATTTTTAGATAAGTATTAACAGAAACTAGTCAGGGTAGCTGCTCTGACTGTTCAGGTGTTAGGTAGGGCTACACAAGATAAGAGTCATTGCTCAGAGCAGTGTTGTCTGTTCCTTTCAGAACTTACACCACTGTGCTAAATATAAGTTATTGGAGGGTATTTTTTAAAACATAATATCTTCCAATTAAGTATTTGGAGTAGTGATTTATTTTTCACTTTCTGTGCCAATAGTTGGTAGGAGTTGGGGTACTGGAGAAATGTAGCCATCTAGCTCTAGCAGGAGAATGCTACATTTTCTATAAAGCAGGCAGAAATCCAGATAATATAATCTACTTTCCGTTTTTTCCCTCAGATTTTTGTGCGGATAGATGACGGATGGTTCGGACATTTTGGTAGATTAAATATATAATTGAGTGGGAAGTGCAAATTTCAATTAGTGAGATATTTTAGTGGTCACTTTCAAGTTTTTTAATTATGACTTTCTGTGTCAAAAGAAACATTAGCTGTACTGAACCACTGGATGTGGGGAAAGACTTGCTTGCTAAATGCTTATGACTATCATTACATTACAAATGTCCCTTTCCAAACATGACCTACCTTAGCTGTTGTAGGGCTATCTCACTTCTAGCCTTTGTCTTGTCACAGGTCCTTTTGTCCTGACAGACTAATGCCAAAATGAAAATTAAATCACACTTTCATTCAAAAGGAAAAGATGTTCAGGTTTATGAAATATAAATTAGGGCTTTGGGGAGGAAAAAAGCAACAACTTTTCCTCTTTAAATGGGGGATGGCTTCTAACTGGTGATTAAAGGGAGAGATTTTAGTGTCACTTTTAACTCTGCCTAGAATACAGTAGGTGGGAACAATTAAAAAGCCACAAGAACTCTGAAATAAGGGCTGTTTGTGCATTCACAGTTCTTATAAACTGAAGAGGATGAAAGAGGCTTTTTTCTCATTGTCACTTGCTTTCCATGTCTGCTGGTATTATGCTAGTGTACATGGCAAAGGCAGACTTTTTTAAAATGCATGCATGCGGATTAGGGTCAAGCCCCGTGTATCAGTAATGCAGCAAGGCTCGTCCATAGCACTGCAGTGAGAGAGCCTACCAGCAGCAGCGAGATGCTTTAATTGAGACATGCTGTCAAAGTGACAAACACATTTGCATACAGTCTATTTATTTTCGTTGGAAAGGTCTGCAGTCTGCTGTTGGTTGAACATTCTTAATCAGCTCGCTGTAAGTGAGCCGGCAGCTAGCTGTCCTGTGCGAGGTGCTTCTCTTCATTACATGACAGATTAGCTAACGGGGGATGGGCTAGCAAGCCAGCAGCAACCTTTAATTTTAACTCATTATCTCTCACCCTATAGTGAGGTAGTTTCTGGCTTTTCTGAGTGCAATTGTGTGTCTGCGGTTGTTTAGGCTGCAAAAAAACCCCAGTAAAATATCTTGAAATATCCTTGAATGTGCAGTACTTTAGTTGATTGTTCTTAACAATTTAGCAGCAATTATCTAACTGTAGGAGATACCATAATATTTGTAGCTCATCTTGGCAACTAGTTACCAGGCATTGTTTGAGAGGGTTGTTTATTATGGAATTGTTTTAACTGTGGTTTCTGTGATACCTTTGATAATCTTTTGCAGATTCTGAGTTTGCATCAGGGTGCTTGAGTTGTGTGTTTCTGCTAGAAATTTTGCTTCCGTCCCTGTAACAGCATAATGTTGAGCAGCTTCAGATCTCTTCTCCTTTCTGATTTTCATTAATTGATAGATTTGTGCTGCAGTTAATTTTGCCTGATTTCTGAAGTATGTTGTTTGAGGAGCTCGTAATATCTCTACGCCTTAAAAACTCAACAATTTATAACTTTATGAAAAAAGGAAAAAAAAGAGAGAATGAACAAGGTTGGTTTTTTGATGTTTGGTGTTTTGTGTGTGGTTGCTTTTTTTTTTTTTTTTTTTTTTTTTTTGACTGAGCTATGCTGATAAGGTATTTTGGGAGTTTTCATTTTTTAATTTTTGGGGACAAAAGTCTCAAATATATAATTCCATTATTTGGGGAATGGCTATTTATACATGTTGAGTATGCTAGAGCCAAAAAGCAAAGATTCTGGGAAATGCAGGCATCTCCTTAATGATGCTGATTGTAGAGCTGTTGCAAGTAACACATGCAGCTCTCCAAAACACCTTGCTGAGTTTTTAATGAGCAGCAGGATCTCTCAGTCCTCTTTTATGTATTTATTTTTGCATTATCTAAAGCAAAAAAAACCCACCAACAAAACAAAAGGTGTGTTTGTTTCTCTGGCTTACTTACCAGCAAATAGAATTCTTTATTCCATTTATGTATGAAAAGATATAGCTTAATAAAACACAAAACTCTCTTCCAAGTATGTATTCATTTAAGAGATTCTATTATAGTCTGTTCTGGATGCAAACTATAGAGAATTAATATCCTGAGGGCTAATGAAAATAACTGTTAAACAAATGGGAAATACATTCATGCACTAAAGTATCTTATCTGACTATGAAAAAAACTTGTCCAGGTTCTCTTCCCAGCTGATTCTTACTGCTGTTAAACTTTTGTGGGCCATAAAATGGGAATTGCCAGCATATTTGCTGTTTTGATCATTTCCTGTAAACAAACATGTTAATTCATAATCTGCACTTAGACATGCAGAACAAACAACTGTGCTTTGTAGGGCAGGTTTGTTCAAGGAGATTAAACAGTATTAAGAGGTCAGGGGGAAGATGAGGAGAAAACCAGCCAGCTACATTCCAGAAATGCAAAACTGGACCGCTGAGGCCAAAGGCAGCAAAGGGGGGAAGATTATCTCCAGGGTAAAGGAGATGAAGTAGGGAATGGAGGAAGGCTCCTTTGCCAGACCCTGTGACTCCCTTCACACCGAGGTGCATTGGAACAATAGCAGATTCCCCTGGATCTCAGCAGGCATTGTGTGGCACTGAGGTAGAAACCAAAGGGGAAAGGGGAAAACAAGTTCATTTTCTAATATTCATGCAATGTATGCTATGGCTGCAAAGCCAGCCTCCTGTTCTTACCACTCTGAATTGTGACAACAGGGATACCTTCATTAAGAAAATGAGCTTCCATTCCTCTCTTCCACACTGAGCAGTATGGTCTCCCATTTGCCTGAGCCACGTGGAGTTTCCTCATTCTCCATTTGATTCTTTGTGATTGTAGCAAAAGTAGAAGCCCAGTTCTTTAATACTATTTTGTCTTCAGAAAGTGTATTTTCTACACCATTTCTTCTCACTCCTTTCTGTGGCTGTTCATTTCAGAAAGGAATTCCCTGCTACACAGTAACAGTCACTGCAAGAAAGGCAGATGTATTGGACCAGAAGCACTTGTCCATCTAATGTCTGCTTGAGACTACTTCTGGGTTCTTAGGGGAGTAAAAACAAAGTCAAAGGACAAGAAAATAATTCACTTGATTTAAATTCTGCTTTTTGGTGTGCAAACTTTGCAGAAATGGCAATCCATGGGATAGGAGTTACTGAAGTAAAAGGCTTACACTCTTGTCATGCATGTAAATATTTGAAAAGCGAGCCCTGGTGCTCTCTTTAGGAAGATGTTCACCACCTGCAAAGCATACCCAGAGATGACTGCCTCTCATGCACTCACTTGCCAGTATCTTCTAATGAGCACCCAGACAGCTTTGTCTTCTTAGCTCCTGCAGCAATGTAGTAGGTATGTAGCTCCTGCTCTGTAGGAATTCGTGCTTTGCAGTGAGATGATGTGGGTGGAGTCCTGCAATCCAGCAGATGTGTTCATCCATGAAAACACACATTCCAGGCTATGGAGTTTTCCAAGTGTCTTGGCATTTCAAGCGCTTCTTAAGCAGGGGTGTTCAGAATAAATTTACTGCCCTGGGTGCATGCAAGTCAGATGCCATAATGCTTGGATGTATGGAGAAAATGCTGTGGCTGAGCTGACCTCCTAGGGCTCGGTGACAAGCAATAGCAGCTGTAACATGTCTGCAGAATTTCCTTGTTAGTCCTGTTATGCTGAGGAACCCATAAATACCTTGCAGAGAGTATCTTGGTCCATCACTGCTAGCATGTAGAAGAATTCTGCTTTATAAATAATGCATGCAAATAAAATAAATACATCAGTACATGCAAGGCTAACCAAATCACCTAGA